TCATACGAGATAGATAAACTTGGGCTGGGCTCGTAAAGCCCAAATGCGAAATTAGCATTACCCTAGAACCTTCCACTATACATACACCTCCCACATTTCTTATCTTCTTCCTTGTTCTTTGTTCGTCCACCTAACTCCAATCCTCTTCTCCTTTAGGGTTTCAATCTCTCTCTCTTTCTCCAACAATGGCTTCCTCCGCCGCACAAATCCACATCCTCGGCGGAATTCGATTCCCTTCTTCTTCCTCCACCAATTCCACTCCACGAAGCGTCTTCTTCGGCAACAGAATCAGTCCTTTCTCTACTCCAACATCTTCTTTCCTAAGAATAAAACGCACAACTAGCACCGTCCCTTCCAGGTACTCAGTCGGTCCAGTCCGTGTTGTTAACGAGAAAGTCGTCGGAATCGATTTAGGAACGACGAACTCAGCCGTCGCTGCTATGGAAGGAGGTAAACCAACGATTGTAACGAACGCTGAAGGTCAGAGAACAACACCTTCCGTTGTTGCTTACACCAAGAGTAAAGATCGACTCGTTGGTCAGATTGCTAAGCGTCAAGCTGTCGTTAATCCGGAGAATACTTTCTTCTCTGTGAAAAGGTTTATTGGTAGGAGAATGAACGAAGTTGCTGAAGAGTCTAAGCAAGTTTCTTATAGAGTTGTTAAAGATGAGAATGGGAATGTTAAGCTTGAGTGTCCTGCTATTGGTAAACAATTTGCTGCTGAGGAGATCTCTGCTCAGGTTTGAATGGAGTTTCTTCTTGATTTGGGTAATGAATTTGGAGGTTTTGTTGCCTGATTAGTTGTTGTTGTATTGTAGGTTTTGAGGAAGCTTGTGGATGATGCTTCGAGATTCTTGAATGATAAAGTAACGAAAGCAGTGATTACTGTGCCTGCTTACTTCAATGATTCGCAGAGGACAGCTACGAAAGATGCTGGTCGTATCGCTGGATTGGAAGTTCTTCGTATTATCAATGAGCCTACGGCTGCTTCTTTGGCTTATGGGTTTGAGAAAAAAAGCAATGAAACTATTCTTGTCTTTGATCTTGGGGGTGGTACTTTCGATGTCTCAGGTACTTCTTTTTACTTCTACTTAGGATTGCAAAATGGAAAGTATCTAATTATTGGAGCGTTTCTAATTGTTTTTGGTTCTTGGAATGTAGTACTTGAGGTTGGTGATGGTGTTTTTGAAGTGCTTTCTACTTCTGGTGATACACATCTTGGAGGTGATGACTTTGACAAGGTGAGTTAAAACAGAGACTTGTTTGAAATACTAAGTAGATGATAATCTCGATTTTGTTCGCTCACTTGGTAGAGATACGATTTTGGCAATTGCAGAGAGTTGTTGATTGGCTTGCTTCAACTTTCAAGAAAGATGAAGGTATAGATCTTCTGAAAGACAAACAAGCGCTTCAGAGGTTGACGGAGGCAGCTGAAAAAGCTAAAATTGAGCTTTCCTCACTGACTCAGACAAACATGAGGTTTAAATTTCCCTCTCAAATCTATTTAACTGGTCCTCATTGGTATGTTGTGGAATATTAAGTGATTTTGATTCTGTGTACAGTTTACCTTTTATCACCGCTACGGCTGATGGGCCTAAGCACATTGAAACCACTCTTACCCGAGCCAAATTTGAAGAATTATGCTCCGACTTACTTGACAGGTGATTTACTGATTTAGATTTTTTTTAATATGGCTAAGATCATTATTCATCATCATGGCCTAAGTTTCTATTCTCTGCATTTGAACTTGTAGGGTCAGGACACCGGTGGAGAATTCCCTGAGGGACGCAAAGCTCAGCTTCAAAGATATTGATGAGGTCATCCTTGTTGGTGGATCCACACGTATTCCTGCTGTTCAGGAACTCGTAAGGAAGCTGACAGGGAAAGAACCCAATGTGTCAGTCAATCCTGATGAAGTTGTAGCTTTAGGTGCTGCAGTTCAGGTGTGTTCTTGTTGAACTCTTATTTCCATACACTTGATAGATGTAGTACCGTGATGAGCCGTATCACTAAAATGCTATTTTGGCGTCTGATTCCAGGCTGGTGTTCTATCTGGCGATGTGAGTGACATTGTTCTTCTTGATGTGACGCCACTATCGCTTGGTCTGGAAACTCTTGGTGGTGTCATGACCAAGATCATTCCAAGAAACACCACGCTTCCAACTTCTAAATCAGAAGTCTTCTCAACAGCTGCAGATGGACAGACAAGCGTTGAGATTAATGTGTTACAGGGTGAGAGAGAGTTCGTAAGAGATAACAAGTCTATTGGTAGCTTCCGTCTTGATGGTATTCCGCCTGCACCACGTGGAGTTCCACAAATCGAAGTCAAATTCGACATCGATGCCAATGGAATTCTATCTGTCAGTGCTTCGGACAAAGGCACTGGAAAGAAGCAGGACATCACCATTACTGGTGCTAGTACCTTGCCCAAGGATGAGGTCTGTACACTTACCGAAATTGCTTCATTTTTTCGTATTCGTACTCGTAGGGGTGGTGTGAAGTAACAAAATGAAAATATTGCAGGTGGACACTATGGTGCAAGAAGCAGAGAGGTTTGCGAAAGAAGACAAAGAGAAGAGAGATGCGATTGACACAAAGAACCAAGCTGATTCTATGGTATACCAAACGGAGAAGCAGCTTAAGGAACTCGGAGAGAAAATTCCTGGTCCAGTGAAAGAAAAAGTTGAGGCTAAGCTCCAAGAGCTCAAGGACAAGATAGGAAGCGGATCGACCCAAGAAATTAAAGACACCATGGCAGCTCTTAACCAAGAAGTGATGCAGATTGGCCAGTCTCTGTACAACCAACCCCAACCAGGTACTGGTTCTCCTCCTGGAGGTGAAGCTTCCTCGGCATCTGACTCATCATCCTCAAACAAAGATGGAGACGACGGTGCTGATGTGATCGATGCTGACTTCACAGACAGCAAATAATACTAAATCGATTCCATACAAGTTGTATTATTATTGGGGTTTGTCCATGATTTTGTAGGAAGGATATTATGATTTGTGGGCAGCAAATGAATCGTAAGAGTCAAATTTTGTCTTTTAAACACAATAAACCAAAACCTCTTGCAGCACCAAAGAGTAAACAAAATCCAGAACCAAATTTTGTCTTTGTTTACTCTTGGGTGTAATTTATGTATTCCAGTAATTGTTCTTGTTTTCAAAGATTTGTTGGTCTACTGAACCGGTTTAGGTATAACCGTTTTTGATTTCTCACAAGGATTTTACATTATCAACTTGTGCAAACGAGAGTGGAAGTTCCACCGTGGATGAGCTCTTGATTAAGCAAATAATTAAATAATGACAATTCGTGACACTCAACATATATAGTTAATTTTCACCCAAAAAAAAACATATATATTTAATTAATGCTAATTATTCGAGCATCTTTTTTCTTGCCTTTAGCCTTTCTAGTCAAATAGGGTCAAACCTACCATGATTCTTCTTAGAATTTCTCTAAATATTTAACATATCTACCTAACAATACATTTTTCTCCACACTCTCCACAAAACACTAGTTACATTTTTCTCTACACTCCACAAAACACTAGTTATGTGTCTCATCAACTTCATACTCCATT